GAAATCCACTGTCGAGAATTAAACGGTACGTCCCAACAGCTTCCACCGAAACTTTCACTCTATTGCCCATAAAGACAAAATTTTCATTTGGCCTTGTGGTTTGGGTCATAAGGAATCCCTGCATTGTATTAGAAACATGAGTAGTACAACCAGAATCAATCCACCATGTATTATAAGGAACTTCAGCCAGGTTTGATTCATAACATACATAAGCACTAGGCTTACCTTTCTTTTCGAACCAAGCCTTACGTTTCAGGCAATCCTTTGTGAAATGCCCTTCCTTTTTACAGAAATGGCATCTCATCTTTGCATCACTTTCCTTTTTGTGGATTTTAGAAGAAGAGGCCTCATCCATCTTAAGGGGTCCTCCTCCTCCTCCTTTCTTCTCATGCTTCTTAGCTTTATTCTTTTCAGCTCCTTGATGCTTCACATAATTGATGGAATGAGCTCCATGATTCTTGAGTCTAGTTTCCTCCTGAACTAGCATACTGTGCAATTCATGCACATTCCATTTATCTTTCATGGTGTTATAGTTCATTTGGAAAGGACCATACTCAGACGGTAATGAGTTCAATACGAACTGCACCTGGAAATTCTCATCCACAACCATTCCCAATGATTTTAATTTTGTTGCAATGCTTGTCATATCAATAACATGCTCATGCATAGTACGCGAACCATCAAACTTCATGGTGGTCAGTGTACTCATAAGTGTCCCAGCAAGAGACTTATCAGCGGTTTAGGAGCGTTCTTCCACAAGTTTCATAATTTCTTTGGCACTTTCAATTTGTGGAAGAGATGACTTAATGTTGCTTGCAATGCTCATTTTCATGTACATCAGACTTAATCTGTTGTATCTTTCCCAGTTCTTAAAATGGTTCCTTTCATCCTCAGTGCTTTCAGGAGTAACAACACCAGGTATCTCTTCTCTAAGAGCCATATCCATATCCATTACCCCAAGGTAAAATTGGATTTGCTCTTTTCATTCAGAGAAGTTCAACCCATTAAAAACTGCAACAGTTGAGAACATGGAATGTGTGGCAACATGTACTGCGAGGAATAACGTTTAAAAATATTAATGCTTTGAGTCATACATATCACATACTAACATACTTCACAGATTCAAATATACTAACTTCAATGCATATTAATGTTCACCTTTGGGGATCCATTAACATACACATTAACCATAATGATGCTATAAAATTTCACATAATTTGGCAATGATGCATACCCCTATCATAAATATTTGTCATCTTTGGATGTCTAAATGCAAGGAAATATGCCAACAATACCAACGTCCATGTTCATTTTATAAAACAAATAATCATCCTTTGGGTTGATCCCTAACTGTCCTATAATAATAAACTTCAATATACCACAACATGAAAATTATTTCATACTCTTCATAGCATCACAGTCATGGTAATTGAAACAGAATCATAATATTTGAAATTAAAATAACTCTTCGAGATTTGGCCACTTTGGTGACTAACAGATCTACCATATTTAATTCCAAAACTTTGTCCAACTTTCATGCATATCAATGTCCTTTCACGTTTTCCCAATAATTCATAAAATGGAATAAACATTTGACAGTGACACACTTTCCCAGTACAAGGACCAAAGAGTTGGCGCGAGTTTTAGTGCCGCTCTCGCGCAATCCCGCTCGGTGGTCCTGAAGAAAATCCAGTAAAGTGGCGCGGACTTGCGCCACTACCGCGCGATCCAGCGTCGGTGATCCAATACGAAAACCAGAAAAGTGGCGCCGACCTGCACCATTACCGTGCGATCCCGCGCCATGGTCCAGAAAAACGAAACCGTTCATTCTTCTTTCATAATACGAAAATGATAAAACTTGAATGACATTGCAACTTTGTCCATTAATATGAACGCACAGTGAAATGATTACAATATCAACAGTACTTGGACATGATTTAATAACAAAACATGGATTTCTTTCTCATTCCTTTCAAATAAGAATTTTCAATAATAAAATCCAGAGGAATTAACAGTCATGGTGATCAAGAATTTTCAAAAACCCTATCTTTTCATGAATTAAGAATTCATTCATAATTATGAATGGAAAAACATAAATTCTTAAACACATGCTCTGATACCACATGTAAGCATGAACATCAGTGATTCATGTTCAACAACAACAACCACATCAAGAACATGAAATATGATCTTTAGAATTCATGAGTTTCACATAAACATACCCTTGTCCGTAAATGCGGAAGATCTTTAACAGTGGAATACTTTCTCAGAGTCTTGACCTCTTTCTATTCTTGTATCTTCTTCTGATAGGGATATGATACAACTCTCATGGACAGACAATGATGGAGTCAGTTTCTGAAGACCCTTTTATCATAGAACTCTCTATTCTTCTTAACGTAACTGCACCTATCAACAGTTACTTATTTAAAAACCTTCCTTAACAGTCAATTACCATTATGCCCCTTTATTAATTAAATCAGATAACACTTAATATTATACATGAGACAAATAATGTTTTACAATATCTTGACTGAATACAAGGGTAATTACTAGTTGGAATAAAATACTAATGAAAAAAATACTAATGAATAAGTATGTCACATCATTGTGATTAAAAAATTATGGCAAAAATATGAGTACGCAGCATTTTTCAACGTGAAGTTGAATTTTAGTGTAGCTCAAAATGAACGCAGAGCATACGTTATCCATACATAAACGATTCTCTCAATCTTGATATCTTGGAAATATAACTATAGAAGTGTCCAGAATACATTACAAAACAATCTTAAGAAGTTCGCACCCAAAAAATGGGGTGGGGAAACAACAACAACTAGGACTCTTTTGTCTGTCACGCTGTGGAGAGTGTTTATGATGATAGGTCTTCATTTGCTTTTCTGAAGGGTTTGGCCTGCATTTGTATGACTCTTTAACTACGTCAGCGCTGACGAGTACAAGGAGCGGCAGGAGCCTCATCCTTCTATTATTTTTCTGCTCACATGAATAGATAGATAAAGTAAAATCGTTCTATAATAAGCAAAGTATGTTATAAAGGCATTGATTTGATCCTAGCCGTCATAGAATTAAACTTAACCAAAACTAGCAAGTTTTCAATGGCACGGCCGCATCGGCCACCTGTTAATTTCATGTTGACATAAGAAAATTATTATCCCAAAATTAATTTGTTAATTAACTGCTATTACGCACACTACATATCATAAAATATGTTGATTATTATTTTATTGAATTTTATAGGTTTATCTAAAGCATATAGCTAGGCCAAAAATAAAGACTTGGTCTACAAAAAAATTTAAAAAAATAAAGACTTAATAGCCATACAGCCAAATTGCTCTTTAGGGTGTGTTTGTGAGTCAATATTAAGAGGAAAAGGGAAGGAAGAGAAAGTTTTGCTTATACCTTCCACTTGTATATGAGTTTTAAAAAATGGGGGAAAAGAATATAAGATTTTTATAAAACCTTTCAATACCATTTTCACCCTTAAAATAAGTGTTTCCCCAATTTGGAAGGTCCGAGAGGAAAAATAAAATAAATTACTTATATGTCGGTAATAATAAATTTAGTTATAATGTGAAATAGACAATTTTTTTTTGAAAATATTTCAATCGGTTCATCGCTTTGCGATTAGTCCGATTTGGAGCGGGTCCAAGATTAAGGCTTTAAACCCCTCCCAAAGGTGATACTGGAGAAGATCGAACACATGCTCTCACCTCCACATGCTCAGCTCCCATGTGCCAACTGAGCTACCATCATTTGGTATGTGAAATAAACAATTTTAGAGAAAAAATAATAATTTTAGAGAGAAAATAATTTTTTTGAGAGAGAATCATTTTTTAAATGTTAAAATTACATAAATAATTTTTTAGAAATTTTAAATTTAATTTTATTTATAAAATATATTAATTATATTAAATTTTTTTTAAAAAATTATAAAAACATCGCATTAACTCTTCATTTTTTCACTATATCATATTTTTAACTCCTAAATAAGGGAAAGATAATACCCTTCATTTTCTTCTCCTCCCTTAATTCTTCAGTCCTCGTTAGAACTATTTTCTTTATTTTCCTTTCCCTCCAAACTCATAAACACACCCCTAGTGATAGAGTGAAGGAGGAGCTAACTAAAGCGATACGTTTAATTTATATATATATATATATATATATATATATATATATATATATATATATATATATATGAGGCAGGATCTTTTGACACCGGTGTCAAAAAAAAAGTTTGACACCTCATCTGAGAGCCGTTAGATTAAAAAAAATCAATGGTGTCACATGCTTAAAAATCAGAATCGTTGATTTTTTTAATCTAACGGCTCTAAGACGAGGTGTCAAACTTTTTTTTTGACACCGGTGTCAAAGGATCCTGCCTCATATATATATATATATATATATATATATATATATATATATATATATAAACCTTTAAAATTGAAGGTTTTTTCTAATTTTTTTTCCATATATTTGGAGCTTTCCTCCTTCAAAATCTATAAAAGCTTTTAATTATAAGTACTATTTTTATTTTTTTAATCACATAAATAATTTTGTTTTTTTAAAAAAATTATATTTAATTTCGCCCCGTGAATTTTTTTTTTTTTTTTTGGCTTACACCTTTCTTTGACATTTTACAACGTGTTAGGTAGATAGAGTTGCTTGACGTAAATTGCATGGCGTACGTGGATAGTCTAAGCCCAATGGTCCTTTTCAACTTTGTTTTATCTTCTCTCCTTTGTCAACGAGCTAGAACCGACCTAACTCTTGAGAAAAAGAATACATGCACATTCAAAGATTTTAAACGATTCACAAGCTTTAATATATGTATGATGCATGGTCCAAACTCCAAAGTCCATCAATTTATAATAATCCCTTCATCTCCCTCAATCTCTTAAAAGTGACTTTTCATTCAAAATCGTTTTTTGTCTACACGCGTTTGGAAATTCTTGTTTCTTGTTCTTATCCATCACGTAATTAACACAATGGGGAACCAACTTTGCAAAGGGTATATGATCGATCATACATATGGAATTGATTACCTTTTCACAACATTTGTTCAACTCTCATCATATTCCATTTTTTTTCCCTACAATTTGCAGACGAAAATCTAGGTCGAAGAGAAGGCCAATGAGTTTCATTCATCATCAAGCTTCGCCCTCTCATATAGGGATAAGAACTGTGGGTGCAGATAATGTTTGTAACTTCTTTTCCAATTCAGATCTTTGCATATCAATAGTTACTTGGAATATGAATGGTCAGGTGCAGTCAATGACTCAAACGAGTGATTTAATATTCCTTCTTTGTTCATGCAAGAGAGACTCACTTTAATAATTTTGTCACGTTTGTCTATGTCTGATTTTCCTATGAAAACTATCAGGTTTCGTTTGAAGATTTAGCAGAGATGGTTGGTAGAAACCGCGAGTTCGATCTTCTAGTTGTTGGATTGCAAGAAGCTCCACGTCCACGAAACAAAGTTGCAACTCTTCTGAAAGCAGCTCTGAATGAAAGTCACACGTGAGATTGGCCACACCACTTATCTTCACTTTTTCTGTTTCGGTTTCTCTTGTTTTAATGCTAATTAAGATTGAAAATATAATAAGCTTCAAGTTTATCCAATTCGGTCTATTGTCAATAACTATATATATGACTGATCGAGCTCAATTTTATTTTATTTTTTATGTTTTTAATATTATTCATTTTTTTTAAAAAAAATGTTATTTTCCGAATTCTGTGTTTGCATGTAAACTTATTGGAATTTTTCAATCTTTTTTTTCCTTCCTTCTTTCTGAAATGAAGCCTGATAGGTAAAGTTATCATGCAATCTTTGCAGTTGTACCTATTTGGGCCGAGGAATGCAGCATCATTCATTAGAGGTGAGGTTTGTCAAAAATAATTTTATTCTTGGTTAGTCTTATGTTACGTATAATCCCAAACTAAATGTAATCATTTTAATTGTATGCAGAATTGAAGGTGGATAAACAATCTGTTGGGGGCTGTGGAGGAATAATTGGAAGAAAGAAAGGGGCTGTAGCTATCCGCATTAACTACAGAGGCATACAAATGGTGTTCATCTCCTGCCACCTCTCTGGTAATTAATGAAGGATCTCTTTGTTAAGTAGGTGATAGATAAATTATAACATTTTTAGTATAGACTATAGAACATAAGTTTGCATGAGTCTTGAAGCAGAGGTACGGTCTTTGTGAGAGGAAGGGCTTGGTTTCAAATTTGGAAAACAATTTCTTTACAATGGTACTAGAAAAAGGTTGTCTACAATCAACTCTCGTTTCTACCCTCATATAAGTCAGAGTCTTATTTATAAGGATTTGCCCTTCTTTTTTTATACATTGGTAGAAATTAAACGCACAACCTAATATAACCTACCCAAACGAATCCCAGTGGCTTTGATTTGCCTTTACTATAGAAGATAACCTTAATTGAAAATCATTTTCACAATAGTCTCTTTGTCAGTTAATAAGACTTTAAGTCTTCCTTAATTATAATCACATTCACATTCCCAATTGAATTGTACTGAGTAGTTTTCTTTTGCAGCTCATGCTCGCAATGTGGGGGAAAGAAATTCTCAATGCAGGCATATATCACATTCCATCTTCTCTAAAATCTGGAACCCATATGCTAGACCAGCCCACATTACTATTTGGTTAGGAGATCTAAACTACAGGCTTCAGGGGATTGATACTTATCCCGCTAGAAATCTGATAGAGAAAGACTTTCACAAGGTTAGTTTCATCAATATCATCTCAACATAATGGGTTTGCAACTTTGAATTTCACTCATAATTCCTTATTTTTTGTACGTTTCAGCGGCTTCTTGGAAAAGATCAGCTCTTACAAGAAGCTGGACGAGGACAGATTTTCAACGGGTTCTGTGAGGGAACATTGACATTCAAGCCAACATATAAGTATAATAAAGGAAGTAGCAACTATGACACAAGTTACAAGGTGAGTAATCACGCTTTTCAATTCCACATTAACACGCCATGCAAGGTTAGATTATAATTATATATATGTGGTTCGTATTATTCGATAAGATGCATTTTTAAACATAATTTGTATGCAATACGTAATTTTAAAATTCAAGCAACAACTGGCCTTTTAGTCAAATAATTATAGGAGTACACGGTATATTTATGAAATTTTAGCTGACGTATTTTGCGGACCTTTCTTAAATTAGGAGCTACTAGAAAAAACTTGTATAGCGACGGAATTGCTATGGAAATTCCGTCGCTAATTTCATCCTCGCTACTACTTTCCGTCACAAATTTCCTCGCAAACGATTTTGCAAGGAAATTTGCGAGGGAAAGTAGTATAGAGGATGAAATTAGCGACAGAATTTTCATAGCAATTCCGTCGCTATAGAGATTTTTTCTAGTAGCGAGGTCTCATATTCATATACTGGATAGGAATATTCATATCATGATGTAGCATATAATATAAAATGGGTTTAACATTTTTCATGTTGTGGAAGATAATTTTATTTCTTACATATACATAAAAGTGTGTGAATCTCATATTGGCTATGTGAAGAGAAGAAAGAGGAAAAAAAATGGACTTGACACATTTTTATGTGTGTAAGAAATAAAATTATCTCCTACAACATGAAAAACATTAATCCCATATACAATATTATTAGCAAAAGAGTTATTATTTTGATATATTTGGATTGTGGCATTGTTTTTTTTTTTTTTTCAATTATTAATTTGAGATGGATTAGCTAGTTTGATCATCATATATCGATGACCATGAAAATAGATGTTGATTTCTTTTCAATATCATCACTATACATCTTATATATGAAATTTAATGTATCATAGTATTAGTATCATACAAAATCAATTCAATTTGTAATAATATAATATTTTCTGAATTAATTCAAAAAAAAAACTATATAACTTCAAAATAATAATTCTAACGGTAAAGTTTTACATTTAACATTGCTATTTGACATGAAACTGTTTCACAAAGCTTAGTTACAGTTAATTAAGATGAAATAAAATATAGTAAAAACAAATAAAGTTGATTGTTAAAAAACGATGTACTACCCTAAATTTATCCATCCATTTGAGACATTTTACAAATGTGATTTTGTGATGTTTAATATTATTGAATATGTATATATAAATGTATGATGTTACTGATGTATATGTGTGTTTTTTTTTTGGCTAGGTAAGTATACATATAATAAATATATTACTTTATATGTGTACATATAGTACGTATGTGTGTTTAAATTACGGAGCAATTAGTAACTATAATGTACATGTTATTGTTTTATTACAGGTGCGAGTACCAGCGTGGACAGATCGCATATTGTTCAAGGTAGAAGATGCAAATAACATAGAAGCAACCCTACATTCGTACGAGTCGATGGATGAAATATATGGTTCTGATCATAAACCAGTAAAGGCACATCTCTGCTTAAGACTTCGTCAAATTCCAACTAAATCCAATTGTAGTGGGCCCATCTAATTACGTACCTTGACATCTGATCTAAGTGTATAGTTGTTCTTTATGTATTATTTCATGTTATATAATAATATTCGTTTGTAAATTGTATAATTCGTATATAGTTAGTCAAAAACACAAACAAAACAAAGAAAAACGCGAATTTGTTTTGTTGATGGATTTTGAATTGGCCGTATGATAGACTCGCATAAGTCTTCTGGTCGGTTTATTGAGTATTGACTTCTTTGCGGAATGTTCTGATTGGTTGAGTGTTACCTTGGATTAGTTGCAACCAAAACCAAAGTCACCAATGTTGAAGTTGACCTATTTGCCGACAATTTTTTAATTAGGTCGTTTTTTGGGGGATATTTTTAATAAATGATTTTTTTTATGCCCTTAATATTCTAGGTTAAAGGATCTATAGTGTATTCTTCAAATAAATTCTTTACACGTGCAATGGACGAAAATTGGGAATCTAATACCTGATCTCCTTGAGCAATTTGCCAAACACTGCAATTATATACTGTTAATTAGTTGAAATTATTAACCAGCGTCCGAACTTTTTTCTAAAACCTCTTTATAGTTTTTTTTTTTTTTTTATCACTTATATCTCGGGCGTTTGTTACGCGGTTTTCTCTAGGATTTTCGGGAAAATGAATTTTTCTAAATTTTAAATTTTCGAATATTATCGTAAACTGAATGTAAAAATCATATTTCTGAAAATCGAGATTTTCGGATAAAAAAAAAATTCTCCTCTACCAAACGTCCCATAAGCTTTCTTTTCTCATCACTTATTTTCCTATGTTTTTTTCCATCGAGGTCCACCTTTAAGACTATTAATAATTGATTAATCTGCTCATTTTAACCTCCAAATCCATTAACACAGTTGCTTAAAACAATTTGTTGCAATGCTCATGAGAAGTTAAACTTAAAGGCTTGAGTACTTCAAAATTTATATGTACTGATAGTTACCAAGATAATTACCCTCTCCATTGTCATCAGCTTTGAGCACTATAAAGGCAAGCTTCAGCAAAGAAATTATTGTAAGGGTCCAGAAAATGAAGGAGAAGAGTTCATAAATGACCTCCATGCAAGATCTTCCATGTGCATAGTCCCAAATACATATAATAAAGGTACACTATTTCAACAATTTGAAATGATGATATGAGAACTGTTTGCTTCTATGTTTTCTTCTAAATGATAAGGACACAGCAATTATGACTGAAAAAAAAAATTATACTTGATCCTTTTAACATCCTTATGAAGAATTAACTGGAACTAATTTATAGCGAGACAACGGCAAATTAAGTTTCATAATCAGGTTTCATAAAATTTTAATTATGATTTTGCCGATGACATATTAACAGTAATGTTAGAGAATAATATAAATTATTAAAAAGGTCCTCATCTTTTTTTGGGTTGAATTGGTTCTTTACATGATATTAGATTGCATGAGGGGATGTGTTAGAGAATAATATAAACCAATAAAAAAAATTTCACCAAAAAACTTAAGTTTTGGTTTGAATTGATTTGTTATAAGTAAGACAAAAAATAAGCTACATGAGTAAAACTAAATTTGATGAACACAAGTATGTTAAAATGAAGGGCAATATTACTCTTATGCAATAAGAATTTTTTTTTTATCTTATGTACATACATCGATACTTGTGCCAATTATTTTATTTTTTTTTCTATTGGGCCCCACTTTAAATTGAATGTGTAGGAGATAACAAAATTTTTATATCACATGAGACTACAATTACCCTAAAATGAATACAGCAAAAACAAAATTGCGTTTACAGTGTTGACCGTTGAAGAATTTCTGAAAAGCAATTAATGTTTCCTTAACCTCATCAAAAATTGCATGAGGCTGCAATGGAGAATTCGTTAGGAGGCGGATAAAATTGGAAGTCTGAGCAGCAATTTAGGTAATGTTCCATAGGATACAAATATAATTGAGTTTTGTAGGGTAAAATGGACAAATTATTTCATTATTAACGATGTTAAATGTGACTTGGATGGAAAAAATTATAAGGGAACAAGTGATAAGAAAAAATGTTTAGGAGAATAAGTGATATAAGAGTAAACTATTGGGAATTTTGGATTTTTTTTTTTTTTTGGTAATTTAAGGGGGTTAACTACAACACTACAAAGAGATCAATTCAATAAAATCGTTCTGAAATTACAAGACAAAGACAAATCAGCCCAATACAAAGCAATGTTGTCAAACTCGAGTTTCTACGTAGAAACAGAAAGGGATGGTAGAAACGTAAAACATAGAAACGACACGAAACGTAAAGTTTCTACTTTCTACCACTTAAGGTCAAGATACAAAATTATATATATGCATGTACAAAAAAATCACATGACATGTTTGTTGAGCCACTTATCTATCTAAAAAGGAAAATTATTTTTTATAACCAAGTATCAAAACTATAAACAGTGATAATTAACAAGTAATGGATAACCAATATGCTATAGCTGCTTTATACGCTCTGCATATTTTGGATCATCGTTCACCAGAATATAATTCCACTTCTTTCAATGCACACAATGATCTAAAAACACAAAACGATTCTCATAGCATAACTTATAATAAAATTGCAACTTTATAAGACATAATCATAAAAAACTTATATTCAAACAAAAAGATATTAAGATACTGTGAATATGATTTGGGGAAAACGAAAATTAATTTTTTTTTTATTAAATTTTTAGTTTTAAGTAAAAATGGTCAAAATGTAAGTTTTTACCATTTTTACGCGGCATTTCTACCAGTTTTTACCAAAGACAGTTTTTACTTGAGTTTTAAAACGCAATACTCTAGTATAAACATAAAAACGTAAGTTTTTACGTTTTTACACTAGTTTTTGACAACAATGATACAAAGGCTAAATACCAGGGGGAGAGTTTGAAAAAATACAAAAATTATTCTCAACAGGATAATCTAAAGGATATTTAGAAAGCCAATCTGCACAACTATTTCCTTATCTAAAAACATAAACCATGTGAACTTCCCAATTCTTTTGTAACCATGCTCGAACTGAGTCACTATGCAAGACTCTCGAGCTACTCTTCCACTGTTGGAGAGCAAAGTGATAACTGAGCTTGAATCACTTTATAGGATACAACGTCTCCAACCTCTAGCCCAAGCAAATTCAAGACCCTAAAGGATGCCCCATAATTCTGCAACAAAAGCTGAACAATGACCAATATAGTAAGCAAACCCTTCTATCCAATAACCATTTTCATCTCTTATAATTCCTCCACAAGCAGCAACACCCCTGCCATCACTCCTGGCTGCACCATCCGTGTTTAATTTCACCCAACCTGTGTCCGAAGGTAACCATCTAATAGGAACAGAAATGTAATTCTTGGTCAGCTTTGTCCCTTTAGAAGTTATCCAGGCTTGTGTATACTCACGAACCAAACTCTCTACGGACTGCACCTTGTATGCTTTCCCGTTATTTTCCACACCATGCACCTGATTTTTTCTTCACTGCTAGGCTAACCAAACAGTAACAGCAAAAACCAATGACCAGGGGGCATCAAAGCACAAAAAAGATACATTTTGAATATTCAAGGAAAGCCAAGCATCTAAATTAGTATCAAAGAAATCATTTATCAAATTTGACCTCAAAAGATCAGACCAAACTTTTTTAATCTTTGGACAGTCACGTGCCATATGAATAATGGATTCCTCATGAAAATTACAAATAGGACAGCTAGGAGGACACAATCTAAAGTTTGCCGATAAGCTCCTAGTTGATAGACGATGATGAGCAGTCTTCCAAAGGAACAAACTTATCCGATTGGGCCCTTTTAAATTCCAAATGGCTGACCAGAATTTTCTGTCAATACCATTAGAACTATTTTGATTTAGCAATGTAAAATAAATATTTTTCACAGAAACTTCATCTGATCCAACTAAATTCCACCATTTTTTTGTCCATACCATTAGATTCATGAGGAGGCAGCATGCTTCTAATAATTTGAACACAATCATCAGGAAGAAAATTAGATATAATCTCACAATCCCAAGTTCTATCATGAGTAACATAATCAATTACTCTCTTACCAGCCTCTGTTGGGGAAATTTGAGCAATAGCTCTGTTTGCAAGTTTTTTCTCAATGTTCACCCAATGGTCCTTCCAAAAAAGAATAGAAGATCCATCACCCACATCCCAAACCAGCTTGGGTTTAAGCTTATTCCAAACATAACACATAAATTTCCAAAGACGAGTTATGGCAAACGATAGAATATCTTCTTTCTTTTTTGAAAAAAAAAAATCTCATTTTCCCCTTGTTTTTTTTTTAATTCGAGTCTTGCTATTGCGCGTCAAAGCTTTACAGTAATCGGGCAGGTGGGGTGAAAATATATGTTTGATCCTTTTTAATATTATCTTTAGGAGAAATTTAAAACCTTAATCTTAAATCCGCTCAGAACAAAATTGTTTTTTTGTGAAAAATACTGTGGTTTGTAAAAAAAAAAAAAAAAAACTTTACGGTAACCTGATTTTCTTTTAATTTTTCAATAAGATACAGAACGTGTCAAATCATTAAGTTCTGTTTCCAATCACTTAACAAGTGAATCTGAATACAATGGTGGAAGAAGGCTACAAATCCTAGCCGATTAGTAACATTCAAAAGCCCTAAAAATAGTTACATGCATTTTATTGAGCTATGACTTTCGGTGTTTCCTATTGTACATTTAATCGTTATCTCTTTAGAACCGAAAACTAATAGAACCAAACCACGTGTTATTCATTCCTTTTCTTGTAAAAGTTAACAAAAAAAAATCATTGTATTCAGGATTCACTCAACAAGTTCTGTTTGAACATTGGTTAAATTAATCTATGCATTAATTGACATCACTTAAAGTTAACAAAAACATATACATGACAATATTAAGTGGCGTGTGGGATGCATAAATGTCAAAGCAACTTTCTTCCTTATCCCTATATAAATGCGTTTTGGTGTTGGACGATAAAAAAAATACACACTCTCATTTAGTCATTTTCACCTATTTAACTTAACAAATCAAAACATAAAAACCCTCCGGAAAATCCCATTTGAAATATTTTAAATCATTCAGAGAAGAAGAAGAGAAGTGAACTCACGAGCCTGTAGAGCAAAGCTTGAAGCTTTGAGGAAGAAATAGTGAAAGTGATCTTAAGAGCTGTCCTTGGGAGCTTCCAAATGTAGCAACATCATAGGAAAAAACAACAATCACTCCAAGGAGAATGCGGTGCAAGTTTCCAAAGCGAGGCGACTAAATCAAGCACTTGGGCCGAACCTTCTTTGGGGACCCACTCCCAATAGAAGAAGAATTTCAATCTTTTTTTGGCTTTGCTCCCAATCGATCACCTATTTCTATTATCGAACTAGAACACTTTCATCCATGCCTCTTCTTCTTCAAGTCTTTTTTTTTCTTTTTTCTTTTTTTTTTTTTTTTTTTTTATTACAGGTATCTTCCATGAGAAACAATCTTATTTGAGTAGGAAATATTCACATCATGCTAACGCTAACTTTCTCAATTTTTTTTTTTTTTATTTACAAAGACTTAAACTCAAGACCTTACTTAAGCCTAATTAAATATGTATCACTTAAATCAATTCATTTTGGTTTCAATTCCCTTGTTTTAGTATAATTAAATTCCTCTTTCTTTTATCTTTGTGTGTGTCCTTCCTCTCGTTCTCTATTACAAATGTATTCATTAGAGAAGCATATATTCTATGATGCACCGACACTGACACGAGACACGGAATACGACATGACACGCCGATACATTAATTCTAAAAAATGTCATATTTTGACACGTTGGGGCACGTTTTGATATTAAATAATATTTTTAATATATATAATATAATTTATATTTAATACATATAACAGCCCATAATAAGTCATATAAACAATTAAATATTCAAATTCCATAACAAAAATATAAACAAAAATAATTTTTCGTACTTTGTTAATTTTTCATGTCGAATTTTATAACAGAAAAAATTAATTTATAATTTTTTATGTTTTAGTTAATAAAATAAAATTTAGACCTAAAAAAAAAATGTGTCAGAAGCGTGTAAGAACGTTGACCGCGTGTCGATAAAAGTTGACTGCGTGTCAGAAAAGCGTATCGGAACGTGTCAGAGCATTGACCGCGTGTCATAAAATATTGACCGCATGTCAGACACGTGTCGAAACGTGTCGGTGTCCTACACGCATTTTTTTGAATTTTCGGCGTGTTCGTACTTCATTGCCTATACTCTAAAACTAAAAATAATACTTAAGGCCAAACTAAATTAAGGACAAAATGGGATGATGCATTTAGGCTATGTATAATTTGATTGGGCCCATTTTTATGTTGAATTAATCTAAACTATAAAACGGTTTGAAATTTCCTTTTACAATAAATATGCATTCAGCAAGAAATTTACCAAGCCAAATATATATCTCTATTAACTCTTTGCTTCGCTGAAAAGAAAAATCAGTCCAAAGTTATATTATTATTACAAGAAATTTAGTTTCTTAAAATGAAAAATTCATCTTAAAGAAAAAATTTAAAAAGTATAATTATTAATAAAAATTTAGAAAATAAATCTTACAATTTATCATACTTATACATAGATTTATAAGAAATTTTTTTTATCATTCTGAATATATTTTTATATATATTTACTGATCTTTTACCTTTTTTCCAATAAAATTAGGAGGAAAGATAAAAAAAAGTATTATAAAAGAGAGAAAGTAAAAAACAAAAATGTATACCAAAACACAAAATGACACAAAATTGTAATATTTAAAAGGAAAAAAATATTTAATGTTACTTTAGATAACTTTGTCTACTGTTCATCGAAATTACGTCATTTTGGGGTTGAAAAATTAAAAAATTAGAAGGATAAAGACTATTATAACTCTGAAATAAATTAAAATTATAAAAACACCATGATTTCTGCTCCAAAACGACGTCGTTTCGATGAACATTAGATAAAATTATCTAAAGTAATTTTCGAATAAACAAACCCTATTTAAAATTACAAACGATTTTTTCTAATATAAGTATCTTTTAATCATTGATTTATTTTTTTAAATCACAATAATTCCTCGATACTTGCCCCCAATACGAAAAATCATTCCAAAGTTATATTATTATTACAAGAATTTGGTTTTTTAATATGAAAAATTCAACTTAAAGAAAAAAGTAATAAAAAACTATAATTACCAATAAAAATTTAAAAAATAAGTGCATGTTTGATTGTATTCTGATTTTCTGTTCTTAAAACTGTTTTATAGAATATTTAATAAAATATATATTTTCTATTTTTTTAAAATTAAATTCAAAATACAAAATAAAAATAACTCATATATATTCTTTAAATTTAATTCTAAAAATTAAAAGATAATTAAAAATTTAGAACTATTTCTACAAAATAGACATTATCAATCCAATTTTTTTATTTTTTTATTCTGAAAATCAAAAAAAAAATTTGAGAATAAAATCCATACAAACCAAAATCTTACAAATTTATCATATATATATACATATATTTCATGCGTGTTTTTAATATTTTTAACCAGAATAATTCCTCGATACTTGCCCCCGTTTTCTGCGCATGACAATTGACAAGTAATCCACCGTGGATGCGGAAATTTTTGCCATCTCTACCAAACCGCGTATCCGGCCGCAACGCAATTAACGATAATGATGGAAATTTTAATTAAATGATTAAATTAAATAAAGAGTTTTATGTTTATCATTTAACATAATATAACTTCACTTTCCTACACATACATTAAAGAGGTGGGGTTCACATGTTTTTTTTTTTTCATCATTTCACTTTCTCTCTCCCTTATTGATGTGAGAGTTAGAAACAACACTTACATTACATTACATTACATAACACTAATAGAACCCTAAAATAAATAAATAAAAACAATTCCGGCTTTCATAAAGAAACTTTTGCGTTTGTGCTCGGTTGCGTTTGGGGTCTCCTTGAGGAGAAGGCAAGTGTGTATCTTGTGTGTGAGAACAAGGAGGACCCCACACATTACCTTGTTAGACTTTTCACAACCACTCTGGATTTTTTTTTTCCCATTAACTTTCTTCATAACCCATTCCGGATTATCAGTTATTCACAATCTTCTCATCATTCTTTTCCGTTTCTTTAATTTTGACTTTGAATTTGCGTGCACTTCTTCTTTTCCCTGTTCGCATTTATTTGGGGGGATTCCTTCATATGTCAATGATCTGGTTTTCTCCTGTTCCTATTTTGTTTCTGAAATAATATTCCTTTGTTTTCGTTCGCATATATAACAACACGCAGCAAAAAAAAAAAAAAAAAAAAAACCTTAACAGTTGTTGTAGCTATCTATCTGCCTTGTGAATTAGATCATACACTTTGCAAGAGTGAGAAACAGTTACCTGATTTATAATTGTTTCTTTTAATTGGGTCTCTGTGCTTCCGCGGTTTCAATTTGTTAAAGAGGTGAGTCACTTCTCTCTCTGCTTTTCTTCTTAGTTCCATAATTAGATGTTCTGTGTCATCAAGTTAATTGGTATTTTCAGCTGGAAAAAACCCTCTTTTTTTATGTTTTTTTTTTTTAACACACCCAAAATTGAAATTATTGGCCTTTTTTTATATTTGACATTTTGGTTAGAGTTAATGGTAGGATTGGCGGATCTTGTTGTGTAATATCTTAATTTTTGATGTTAAATGTGCAGGAAGGAATTTTTACCTACTATGAACATATAGTATAAATTTGATTTATGGGTTGGCTTAGCAAAATTTTTAAAGGCTCTGACCATAAGATTTCAGAAGGGCATTATTATAAAGAGGATGCGGATTATTACTTGCCATCAACTTCAAAGGTAACAGACTTCGGCACTCATTAACAACTGCTTTTGAATGCTTCAGAAATTTGTCTTTAAGTGTTGAAAAATGCTACAGGTTGCTCTTCTTGTTCTCCTTGTTTAACATATTTTGATGGGAATTTGAATGCAGGATGTTTGGTCCGAGAACGAGAATGAAGATATAGATCGTGCTATTGCACTATCTCTGGTAGAAGAAAATCAGAAAGCAAGCAATGTAAATGGTGAGTGATATAGCTCTCCAATGTTATTGTATGTCAGTGCATTTTGTTTGAATCTTTACAGTCAGAGAGAGACAGCTTGCTACGAGTAATGTAAATTAGAAAGTTCTAAATTTCTAATACTTGTGTCACGGGTGTTATAGTTATTTATACTGTTTTTCCATTGCCTTCATCTTCATTTTGTAAATTAGGAGAAATTTGATATGAAATCTTTGATCACATCATTTGATAAATGAAGAAAGCATTTGTTTTCTGTTGAATGTGACAGTAAATGCGCCTGATATGCTTTCCTTTGCAGGATAGGTAAGTTTGATATGTTATGTTGTTAGCTTAGATGATAGCATGGCTTGCATTTTATGTACTCATTTCATTAATTAACAATTAGTACCATGTTTGGAATCATTAAAATTTAGAATTTATATAGTAGTAACTTTACAATTATTATTTTTTTGTATATTCACTATCGGAATTTCTGCTTATGTTCTGAAGAGGTGTTGAACATTAACTGATTTGCACAGACTTCTTTTGTTTTGGATCCATTCTTTTTTAAACTTATGTATATACCAGTAATGTTGTCTAAATTGTGTTTTCCATAAGATAAAATATATTACTGTTTTATATTAAGAGATTTTTCTGTCCATTTTATAGACTACAGGTCACAATTAGAAGAAGATGAACAACTTGCCAAAGCTATAGAAGAAAGCCTAAATTTGGAGTCTCCTCCCAGATATGGAAATGAAAATATGTATCAGCCTGTTCAGTATTTCCCAATGGGGTACAGGTATGAGTTAGAGGATATATGATAACATTGTACGAATTTGGCATCATAATTTCAACACCTTTTTGTTTGACTACTTCAGTGGGCATGCTAAGAATATCATCTGAACTAATCTATTGACCATTTACCATAGGGTCAAAATTCCTGTTTCTTTCAGTTCTAACCCAGGCATATGCTGCCACAGATTGGTTGTCTGGAAATCTCTATTTTGACTTATGTTATACTTATACCCCTTAGTTGGTCATTAACATATTTTCCTTGTATTTCCACTTATTTGTGCTGGTCCCTTTGAATTACTTGTTTACTTATCATATCATATGACTCATTAAGGATATGTTGTTTAGGAAGGGGTTGATGTAACTGGACTATGGGGTAGTCTAGATACATTAATCTTCGTCCTTTTTCTCCTCTTCAAATTCCTTGTACCAAACATTTCATAAAGATACATTAGTTGAGTGAAGACTGCTGCAATAGAACTAATTTACAGCCACATATTAACTTGTACGTCTAGATTCTATATCATTATGGAATGTGATGATATCCATGGGTTAGTATGAATTAAGTTCCATATGCAAAGAAGGGATGTGATGATATGTCTGGTTGAAAGTTTGTATCATGCATATCATGTTCAAAGCTCATAAACAAAGGGAGAAACATCTATCCAGAAATTTCCTGTTTGTTTTCAATTGGTGGAGAAACTATTCGCTTTCAATTTGCTATTACATTATAATACCAACAATACATGTGATGCAGACATAATTAAAGTTGTCTAGTTATTTACATAATAGGATTTGTGCTGGCTGCAATACTGAGATTGGTTATGGGCGATATCTAAATTGCTTGAATGCATTCTGGCATCCTGAATGCTTCCGTTGCCGTGCTTGCAACCTACCAATATCAGATTATGAGGTTCAAGAATTTCCATTGACCTTCCACATTGCTAGTTTTCGTGATTCATTAATGGTTTTAATTCCATATTTATAGTTTTGTTGTTTTTACTTGTGCCTATCCTTGCTTTTGTAGTTCTCCACATCTGGAAATTACCCTTACCATAAATCCTGCTATAAGGAAAGCTACCATCCAAAATGTGATGTCTGCAAGCACTTTGTAAGTACTTCACCGTAACAGATCTTATATTCTTGCTTATTATACCCAATATGCATGAAGCGTTTTCTTTTCCCTTTACTAATTAATGTGTAAAATTGGACGAGGAGGATGAAAAATGCTATTCAGACTACAACCTTATGGAACTATATCTTATATTTATGCTAAATGCAAGTTTAGGTATTACTTATTGTTCTCATTGATTGTTTTTCTGTTCCTGACCTTGAATTTTTGTTGTGTCATTAATGTGAACAAATATGAAGTATATGAAACCTCATTTCTCCGGGAATATTAATACTTTGTCTATCTTTCACAAGTTTTTATCTATTTCTTTCTTTTGTTTTTATGCCAGTAATTGGAGCAACTGGATGCATCATTTCCATTAGAATTATAACTATACTCAATGACTGTGCTTAATCTATTTGATTCATTATATTCTCGTGATCAGTTTCTCTTGTTCTTGTGATTTTTAAAGAGAGTTTTGTGAGTAATGATCATGTTTAAATGTTAAAAGTTATATTTGTATTAAAGTTGTGCTTGAAGAATGCTTGCTCATAGCAATTATATAAAGTGCATCCAAATTAAATCACTGTCAGTGTGTCTAATCACTAATCAGGATATGGAAGATTTTATATTATCAAAGTTTGTGGTTCATGTTCTTGGTGATGCTTTTTTCTTACCTCTAATCATCAATAGCAGTAGTAGAAGTTGCTACTGGCATCATGGCATCACCTTGTTTCTTCAAACTAGTGGATATTATATGAGTCATTCATATTGTTTATAACTTTTCTTTTGTTAGAATTAAATAAAGACATGCTATTCAGTTTTCACCTTGACTTCGGCCTTATTTCTCATTGCCAGTTGCTTTTAATTTTTGGTAATATATATCTTTTGACAGATTCCAACAAACCCTGCTGGTCTTATTGAATATAGGGCACATCCATTTTGGATCCAGAAATATTGCCCTGCTCATGAACATGATAGTACTCCACGCTGTTGCAGCTGTGAACGAATGGAGGTCAGTCTGAATGAAGTATTTTTATGTGATCAATTATTATTTATACGCTTGCCTTGGGAAAGGTGGTTGAACTTGTATGGTGCAAAGTGAAAAGAATGTAATGACAAATTTCTCTCTTCATATGCAGCCACGAGAGTCAGGATATATTGCTCTTAAAGATGGCCGGAAACTCTGCTTAGAGTGTCTGGACTCTGCTATCATGGATACTAATGAATGCCAACCCCTTTATGCCGATATACAAAAATTTTATGAAAGCCTGAATATGAAACTGGACCAGCAAGTTCCACTACTTCTGGTTGAAAGACAAGCACTGAATGAAGCAAGGGAGGGAGAGAAGAATGTAAGGGAAAATGCATTTTCTCCAGTTATCAGTAAATATAATTACTGATAATTTGATTATATTGACATTCAGCTGTCAGGTGTACAAGGAACTATTTTTTTTATGTCTGGCATAATCTGCAGTTCTGCACAACTAATGTTAAAAGGGAAATAATACTTTTTGTTATTGATAGCTTTGAGAACGCCATCTCTGGCTAAGTTTTTCTCTATGGTGACATTTCAAAAACATACTATGTCAAATAAATAAGTCAATTTGACACATGATATAGGAAACTTAAAGAGGAAAAAGGAAACAGACATGTATATTCATATTTTGAAGTCTAACGCTTGCAATAAATGATTCTGTCCTAGACAATATTCTTTCAAATGTGAAGCTTCAATTCATACTTAGTTCATGATTAAAGCTAGTGTTTTTCTTTATTTTTTATTTGACTCTTTATCTTGGCCAGGGCCACTATCACATGCCTGAGACCAGAGGACTTTGCCTCTCGGAGGAACTCAGCACTGTAAGATTTCCTGTTATGTTTTTATGGTTAGATTATAGCTTCTGTTAAAATCCAATAATGTGCTATTTATGGTACATTGCATTTAAACTTGATCAGATCTCTAGACGACCTAGACTTGGGACAGGAAATAGAGCAATAGACATGAGATCACAACCATACAAATTGACTCCACGCTGTGATGTGACAGCAATTCTCATTTTGTATGGTCTTCCAAGGTAATAACTTCTACAACTTATATCAATTGGAGACAAGCTGAATGCTTATGAGCATCAGATAATTAATTGAAAGTTAACAAATCTAAAAGACAACCAGAAAATTTCATAAGGATGAAAATTACTGTTAGTGGACGACACACGAAATCAGAAAAGTTAGTATGTATCTAGTTGCAGAGACCCAGAGAACAATATACGATACATAAAAGTAGTGTGTTTGACATGGTAAACAATTTATAGAAAGTCCAAATTTACATGGCCAAATTAAAAAGAAAGAGGCTAAAAGCTGCGAATTGTCTTCCCCCTTGGTATCCGTGTTTACTTCATGAAAGAACCTTTGCGTTCTTTTGGAATTAGAAAAGGAAGTTGATTAAAAAAAGTAATATTTGCAGCCTAGCATGCGTTGCCTTGTTGATATTGGATTATATAATAATTCTCCTATGCATGCAAGATTCTCTTGGGTATATTTGCATGTTTGTTCAAGTTTCCTGACTTACAGAATAAATCTTGCAAGAGGCTTCTTTTTGTTGTCTTTTTCAAACCAACATCGTTGCTTTTGTCTTTTGGTTGGATGATTCATTTTATACATGATTGCAATTCTGTTTTGTTTTGTTTTGTTTGTTTGTTTTAACAGGTTGCTTACTGGGTCGATCCTAGCTCATGAGATGATGCATGCATGGCTACGGCTTAAAGGTAATATTTCATGATAGTGAATTTATTGTGTTGGAATTCATCTAGAAGATTTTTCACCTAACAGTAAACCAATGTTATTTCGTTGGGGTTGTCTCTCAATTTTATGCAAACTGCTGTATATATGAAGGTTATCGGACTCTAAGTCAAGATGTTGAAGAAGGCATCTGTCAGGTTTTGGCTCATATGTGGCTGGAGTCTGAACTCTCTTCTGCATCAGGCAGCAACTTTGTATCAGACTCATCCTCATCTGCATCATATGCATCTAGAAAAGGTAAAAGACCTCAATTTGAGAGGAAGCTTGGGGAGTTCTTCAAGCACCAGATTGAATCAGACATTTCCCCTGTTTATGGAGATGGATACAGAGCAGGTCAAAAAGCAGTGCATAAGTATGGTCTCCAACAGACCCTTCACCATATCAGGATGACGGGGAGTTTTCCATTTGAAGTATACAGATCCCCCATTTAACTGATTATTTCTCATTCTTTCTAGAGATAAAGCCTGGCCTGTTATTATTAGAAACGGAGGCTAAGGTTCTTAGGCATTATCTTTGACGAATTGATGATTTTTTATACTTGTAATTAATTGATACCATTGCGGATATATTGATTACATTCATATGATTTTTTTTTCACACCTCCTTTAATCACACTGGTTCTGTTTTGTATTACCACCTTCCAACCTGTGTCACCTCCCAAAAAATTAAGAAAAAAAGAACACTTTCCTATCAATATCTAGCGAATTTGTTCTGTATTTCAAAAGGAATAATGATTGGTATAAACATATGCGGGGTCAGAAAACTTCCGAATTAAAGAACCTACTAAATTTGTACATAAAATGCGTATGTTATATCCAAATTGACTGCAAAAGCAATAGAAGTGCACACTCCATATCTGTTAGCGAGAACTATCATTTCATCTCTTCAGGCCTAGACTGTTATTGATGCTGGGTGGTATTCTTTGGTCCATATCATTTGTTGTATTTTCAATAAGCTAGAGACAACCTCTGCTGTGTTTGGTCTCTTTTCTGGTTCTTGGGTCAAGCAGGATAGACTTAGTTTAAGTAACTGGAGAGCAGGTACTTTCCCACAGTTTCCAGTGAGCCTAGGGTCAATGAACAAACTCACCTTCTCTTCTTCATTCTCTTTACCAATGAGATTTAGAATTATTGTAGGAAGCATTACCATAACTCCATCTTGTAGGGTAATAATAGAGTCTTTACCTGTGATCAATTCCAACAGCACCACTCCAAAAGCATAGACATCCATTTTGGTAGTGACTATCGCTGCCTCCAGATACTCCGGAGCCATATAACCCCTAGATCCCACCACATGTGATGTGGGACAACCGGAAGTTATTTTCCTATCTGATTCTTCAGCAAGAGCAAAATTTGCTATCTTGGCCCTTAGGTCTTTGTTTAGTAAGATGTTTCCACTGTTTATGTTCTTGTGCACATAGCAAGGCTCTGTGAAGTTGTGAAGATACTGAAGTCCATTGGCAATATCCACAGCAATCTGGATTCTCTTTGCCCAACTCTGGTGCTCCGTGGACCTGTTTTTGCTAAGCCATTCTCTTAAAGAGCCATTTTCCATATATTCATAAAGAAGATAGAGGCAGCCATCGTTTCTACAGTAACCTTGCAGCTTTATCAGGTTGAAATGATTGATCTTTTTCAGCAAATTGACTTCCTTGGACGCATCTCCTCTCATTTTTTTAACAGCCAATATGCCCCTCCCATTGCCAAATACCCCACGAAATACAGAACCTTTAATTCTATTCTTTGAACTAAAATCTTCAGTGGCCGCCTTTATTTCCTCAAACCTGTACACTTTGGAATGATGTTCAATGATTGCTATCTCCTCACGGATATCTTCTGAAGACACCCTCTTTGTTTTCTTATATTCTGTATCTTGCTTAAAAAACCTTGCTGATCTTTTTCTTAACAGAAACATCACAGATAATATGACACACAGAACCAGCATGGAACCCCCGAGGGTGGCAACAATGATGTGGAGTTTTCTCATTGACTTGCACCTTTTGGAGCTGCAAACATGTGGAGTTGACATGTTTGGTGGATCATTAGCAACTATGGTCATTGAACTCACTGGTTCACTTGGCAAAGGAATCAGAATAGTTGTGAATGGAAAAAGAGTTTGTGTTTGTGTGGAAAAATCATTGGCATCAATTAGAATACCTGGTTCTACATTGAATCTTGTAGCAATATTTGAAATGCTATCACCCCAGTTCACTGAGTATGTCAGTAAATACTTGGTGCCATTTGTTGTCTGATGCCATGTTGGACAAGCACATCTGAGTGGCACGTGCAATTCCATCCCAGGATGCAAGTCAAGTTCCCCATATGGATTGGCACGCTCGAGAGCATCACAAGTGGCCAAACCCTGAAAAGTATCATTTGTTACTGCAAAATATGTTGGATATGTACCCAAGACATATTTGGTTTCAGCTTGGTAATAATCTCTTGTTAAACAAGAACAGTTCACAGGGACTATAACCTCTTTGTCAGTTGGGAACACTGTGAGCACAGTGGCATCATTTATTCTGGCAAGCTCTTCAGGGTTTGATGATGTGAGATTTGAAATTGTGGGGATGGTGTTGTAAGGAGGTTGAGATTTAAAAATGAGGAAGGCCATGCAAGACTTTTTGAGGCCATTGCATGTGTAAAGGAAAGCTGGAGAAGGCCCCATTTCATCACTGTTCTTGCAACTGAGTACTGAATTTCCTGAGTAATTTTGCTGTGCTCTTGCATTTAAAGAAAGAAGAAAGCTTAGTGTGAAGAAAATGAGGAGAAACACAACATGATTCATGGTGAGGTTATTTTCTTAAAGAAAGTGAGAGCATTTGAGTATATGATAATTTTAAGATATTTGAGACATACAGTATAGAATTATTATAAATTTATAGAAGAATAACGCGTGGAAATTGCCGGGCCCGCAGTTTTTCATAACTTGGTCCATTAGTTGTTTTTTGAGATGGATTGCATAATCGTTATCATATTTAATTGACCCGGTTTTGGGGTTACAATATCATATTATTATATTGGAAAATATAAGAAGACATTGTTGATTCCTGCAACAAGGATCCGGCAACGTATCTTGATTTTAGTTTGATTTTATTTTAAACGTGGGACCCACACTTGATTTGTGTGTGCAGAAAAATAGTCTTGTCATGTGACATGACAAAAAGCGAACCCTATTATATTATGTTGGGATATATACTCATAAAAATGAAGATGAAGAACAATCTGGAATTTTTTTCATACGGAAAATGAGAGTATATATATAAAATCAGAAAAATATTTGCAGATAAGTTATATGTATTTACTTCCAAAACGATATCGTTTTGGGATTGAAATATTGAAAAATTATAATTATAAAGACTATAAAACCCTGAAATAAATTAAAATTACAAAAACACCATAATTTCCGCTCCGAAACGACGTCGTATTTGGCTTACTGCAGATAACTTATATGCAGTAACTGCAGAAAAAACGAACTCATATAAAATATGAGATTAATGTTTCTCATGTTATAGGAGATAATTTTATCTCCTACATACACATAAAAGTATGTAGGACCTATATTTTTTCTCTCTTCTCTTTACATAACTCCATATGGACCTTATACAAAGCATAAGAAATATTAAACCCATAAAATATATTTTCGTTTGAATCAGGTTGTCAATAAATTGGTGTCTTTATATTTTTGTTGTCAACAGCCTCGCACGGCTTATCTTACTAATCGGACCGTGTTGTAGTTTTTTCTAAGACTTACGATTTATCAATTATTATATCATTACATGATTTATCCTCTAGCAAATTGGGTCTCTGTCAAAGGTGAGCTGCTGCTTCTACCGCACCACTACCCAACCCTAACAAGAAGGGAATTGGTCAAATAATTAATGACTGATGAGGGACATGAATAAACCCCAAATTTACTTATAGCAGAATCACCTTAATTCTAGACACTAGTTAAAAAAAAAAGTTTTGATTTGGTTATTGCGAAATTTAATGAATTTGATTATAATAATAATTGCATTAAAAAGTTAAACTCGTCAAATAACATAATACCAAATGATTGAATGGTAATAATGAGAAATTTAATTTTGATGCACAGCAAGTTTTACACACACATCAGATCTAATGAAGCATTACCAATGAATTTGACACCTTAGGTAATAACAAACATAGTTAAACTTATTGAATGAGACATTAAACTAAGGTTAGATAATAATTTTTAAAAAATACTGACAATGCACCAAAATTTGAGCCTAAAAAACTTAAATTCACGATGAATTAAAATTAAACTAATGAATTTCCAAGAATTTTATACCTATCCAGATATTTCCAAGAATTTCCAAGAAGGGAATTATAATTCCAATGTGATGGGCAGTGAGACATTCAATGGCTTGTCTGCCACCACAAATGGTCATTTATTTTTCGATTTAAAAATTAAAATTCGATTTTAAAAGAATTTCTTTTTCCAATTCCAATGTGATGGGCAGTGGGACATTCAATGCCTTGTCTGCCACCACAAATGGTCATTTATTTTTTGATTTAAAAATTAAAATTCGATTTTTAAAAGAATTTTTTTTTCAATTTACCCAATAAAAAAAGTTTGTATATGCCATGTAGTGTGAATATAATTTGTAGAATTAACCAGGGAGTGACACTTGGCAAAACTTTCCAACATTGAACTCTCCTTTATATATATATATATATAGATATAAATCTCTTTAGTTTTTACCGTGTAAGTTACCCAAACCCAAATCCATCAAACAAATTCATGAACAAAAATGAAGATGAGACAGTGAAGGAAAAAGAAAATACATGAATAAGGAAATGGTATGGATATCTTAATCATGCGCAAATATTAATGGGGTCAAAGCAATCAGTTACGGGGGGAAAAAAAAAGCAAAGAAGAATGCATGTACCAAAAAGAAAATATAATATAACTTGTTATCAAAAAAAAAAAAAAAAATATAATATAACTTTAATTCTTAACTGATAATTGTATGTCTTAATAACACTTATTATAGATCCATATTATCTTAAAAACTGCGACAAAATAACATTATTTTAATACACTTAACATCATTTTGCATGATGCCACCCCAATTTTAATTGTGCAGCTTGTACTAATTAATAATCAATTGGGAGATGTAAATTACTCATATTACATGAAAAGGTAATGTATTGTATCTGAGTATCTCTAAACTTTAACGTCCCATTTGAAATTAAGAGGTTTTTTTTTTAAGGATTTTTTATGCATTAAGTTTTTTAAATATTTTTTTTTTCAAAAGTCCAAACTATTTTAGATTTGAATCAGCATCTAAAAAATACTTTAAGTAAAATGCAAACACTTTTTTTTAAAAGGATATTGTTAGTTTATTTTCTAAACAAGAATAATTATCTATTATGTGGGATGCGCATTTTTTGTTATTAGTTAATATGTTTACTGACTTTTGTTTTAGTTTGGTTTATTTACTGTATTGGGCCAATGAATATTTTGTGTTGGTTTGCTAAGGCCCACATGCGGGTCATTTGTTAATAAGCATATGAGTAACAAAAATGCACCGTTTCATTCTCTTGGCTACTTAGTTAATGATACATATGTGATGATGGGTTGAAAACCGTATTGAGATACACTTTTTCTTTATTCTTCGTTCTCTGATAAAATCGTTCTTGAGAGAAGAAACTTAGGGTTTGTTCGTGAACCTTGGTGAGGCATTTTGAGGAAGATAAACTGAGAATCTCATCTCGGTTCTTTGGTGAGAAGTGATCCTTGTGTCAAGGAGAAGCTATTGTTCGGTGCACTTTCTGGAGATTCATCATACAGCTGAAGAAGATTGAGCATGGTGACGTTCCCAACTTGAGAAGAGGGATTCGTGTGCTTGGAGGAGCTGGAGACACTGGTGCTTGGTGTTTGCTCATAGTCTTGGTGATATCTTTCTCTGTTTCTTTGCTGTTGATGATCTTTCTTTGTCATTTGATATACATCTGTAATCTTGGTTATCTTCCTTGGTTATTTGTCTTGTAATATTTGTATCTGTATTTCTGTTTTGCTGGATTTGCTGAACATAATTTTTGTACTATTCTGTTCTGAATAAGAGTGCATGCTAGAGGGCGTTTGACCCTCACTGGCCAACTTGGATGTAGGAAATTCTTTTACAAAGAATTTCTGAACCAAGTATAAAATTCTGGTGTTGTTCTTTATGTTTTTCCTTTCTGCGAGTTCGTTTTCTGGGGTAATTCTTGGTAACTCTATACCAAGAATCGTAACAAGTGGTATCAAGAGCTTAGGTTCTTGGTCCTTTTTCCTTTCTGGTTTGTCTCTGTTTCTGTTCCGTGTAATTTGTCTATTTCCCTCTGGTCCTCGTGTTTTCTGTTGCTGGAAGCTGAAGAGGATGGGTATCACCAAGGTTGAGGTGGAGAAGTTTGATGGGAGGGGTGACTTTAACATGTGGAAGATCAAGATGATGGCTGTCTTGGTCCAACAGAAGTGTGAGGATGCTGTTGGCCCTGAAAAGGATCTTCCTAATTCCCCGACACCTAAGGAACTAAAAGACTTAATGGCTTTAGCTCATAGTCTAATTGTTGTAAATCTGTCTGATAGTGTCCTTAGGCGTGTATGTAAGATAACTAATCCTAGAGAGCTTTGGGAAAAGCTTAAGGCTCTTTATCAAACTAAATCTGCCCCAAACAAGATGTTTTTGAAGGAGAAATTTATTTCCTTCAAGATGGATCCTTCTAAGTGCTTGGAGGACAATCTTGATGATTTTAACAAACTCACCTTAGATCTGGATAATGCTGGGGCAACTGCCTCAAATGAGGATCAAATTTTGATCCTCTTGAATTCTGTTCCAGATTCTTATAGGGGTGTAAAAGATGCTATAAAATACAGCAAAGGGGGAATGGACTTAGATGAGATAACTGAAGCTTTGAGAGCAAGGGAGGTTGAAATACTCTCCCATAAAAAGTCTCATGCTGAGGGGTTGGTTGTGAAGGGTAAAGGGAACAGGAAGGGGAAATTTAAAAATAAATGGAAGGGAAACAATAATGTATCCCAACCTAACCAGAACACACAAGGTAATAAAAATAAGGAGCAGCCAAAAGGTAAACTTACCTGCTGGTTGTGTCATAAAGAGGGGCATATCAAGAAGAATTGCCCTGAAAATAATAAGGGAGCTGCAAAGGCAGCAACTAAAACTGAGTATGCAAATTTACTTAGTGGATGTGAGGGTGCTGAAGTCCTTATGGTGTCTAATAAGGGCTTTGAGGCTGAATAGGTTATGGATTCAGGTTGCACTTTTCACATGACTCCTAAGAAGGAGTGGCTTACTGGTTTAAGGTTCCAAAAGGGTGGAAAGGTCCTTATGGGGAATGACCAGGTCTGTCAAATAGAAAGGATTGGGGCTGTCAAGTTTCTAATGGCTGATGGCAGCCATAAAATCCTCAAAGAAGTGAGGTATGTCCCTGACTTGAGGAGAAATTTAATTTCTCTAGGTATGCTTGACTCAAGTGGGCTGTTATTCAAGAGTGAGCAAGGTTCACTCACTGTTCTTAAGGGTAGTGAGATTTTAATGGAAGGAAGGTTAATTAATGGCCTGTACATATTACATGGCCATGCTGTTTCATCCGAAAGCTGTATAACAGCAGCCAAGGATGATGAATCTGTTCTCTGGCATA